ATTAAGGGCCTGACCATGGGATTAACCCCTGCAGGAAATTAAAGTTGTAGAGAAGGCTCTTCTCTCCACAGCTGAGAGAAAGAGAAAAACGGGGATCTGGATTAGAATTGGCAGGGCTGGTGACAAGCCACCACCCACAGCCAACTGTTCCCAGCTGGATCAGAAAATGTTATCTCAGTCTTGATGTAGAACCCCCCTCCACATCTCACTTGGTTACCAATTTTTGCCAACAGCGTGAGAAGAACAAAAACATCACTCTGTGGCAAGAAAAAGAGGAGGAAACTGGGTAGCTGGCTCACGTGTCCCTCCTCTAAGCCCCTCTCCCACTCCCTCACCCGCTTCCCTTCTCAGCTGCCTCCGTTTTGCACGGAGGAAACATGCACGTGGTCTGTCGCATTCAATAATACTCGGAGAAGATGCTGGCACACACATGGCTGCATTTCTTCCTGTCAACTGCCCCCTCAGCTCTCCTCCTGCTGCTGCTCTGGGCCTCCTCCATATGCCGCACTCTCGCTGTGCTGGGACTTTCCTGTCACTCCCGTGTTGGATATCCTGGTCTCCCCACCTGCTTCCACAGCTTCCCAAGGAATCCCACTTCTCCATAGCAATCTGGGTCTTTCCCATCAGTGCTACCGGCCCTGGCTCCCCTTTGGATGTTCTGTGCTTTCTCAAAGGGCCTGATGAGGCCTGATGCCCTTGGTATTTCCAGCCCCTCCGACATCTCCAAGTCTCATTACAGTGCATTGGGTCAGGCAGGCTTGGGATGCAAATAATGTTTCCTGGTTAAGGCACAGCATGAGGAATCAAGAAAACTGGCTTTTCTCCTGATTTTGCCACAGGCCTGTCAGGAGACTTTGGGAAAGCCTGGCCAGAATTCCTTTACTCTGTGTAACATTGATAAGCCCTACAAATCATCTCTGCAGGACAGGAGAGCATTTACAAGCCCAAGTAATCCAGTGCAAGCACTGCACTTGGCAGCTTCGAAAATCCGGAGTGGGGAACTGATGTGGGCTCTCATGATGAAATATCAAAAGCTCAGCAGCTGAAATTTCAGACAGCCAAACTCAGCAGCCATTTTTACCTCTATCATAGTTTTCCCCTCCATAAAATGGGGATAAAGTTGGTATTTCTTGGAGGGGCTTGGGGAGGAAACATTTTAACACCAATCACATTTGCATTTCAGAGGTGCCTACACATTGCCGTTCCAAAGATCAGAAGCTTTTTGACCTCTTCACATCCCAGAGAATAGGGTGAAGATTTTATTCCCACCAAATCAGGAATGTGGCAGAGTCCCTTACAATACCAACTGGGTTTTGCACGCTTTCTACTTACTTTACAGCTTTCTGTACAAGGTGTTTTGCTTAGCTGTGATTGATCACTGCAAGTCTGATGGCACTGTTTCTTCTGCAGCTGGGTTTCTAGTGTGAATTTAAAATGTGCTTTCCATTGATTGTGACAACACAACACTAACGAATCCTGAACACATGTGTTAATAAATCAGCAAGTGCTGGAAATGAAGCCCCCAGCTATTTAGCTTAGAAGCTCACTGGGGCAGCAACACACACTGTATGTTTCTACAGCGCTGCTGAGCTTGGATCCCACCTTGGGGTGCTTGTGCAGTCCAAAGAGACAATAAATAAGGAGCAGCACCTGAGACAACGTGACCTCTTGTGGTCAGTAATTTATATGACTGACTTAAGTGTGTTGGGGGACCAACAATGGGCATCATCTCCATGCCATCTAAACCCACTTGTGGTACTGTCAGGAGCATGATTCCTCACTAGGACTCATCAGCCAGTTTACTTCACCATCTTCTAGTTGCTGTAATCAGACCACATGGCTGACATGTATCCCTGCCCTCTGTGTGCTGACTCTTGCCCCTCAAGGGCTGATGAAGGAACAGACACAGAACAACATACTTTAGTCACTGGACGCTGGGATACCACTGTCACCCTCCATTATGGGGTGACGGTAATAAACCAGGAATCCTAAAAGCAACAAGGAAAGGGGAGGAGAAAAGATAATCTCCTTAAAGCATCCTCCATGCCCTCCCTCACCCTGCTGCTTTTCTGACAAAGGCTAAAGCAATTCAGCATTGGAAAGGGGAGAGGGACTTTGCCACCATTCGTCAAAGAGAGTGTGGGGGAGGGATGAATGTCTGCCTGTACTTCCTGATAATTTATTGCTGGCATCTGTTGCAGCCTCTGTTACCTACCCTTTTGTAATATAGGTCACCCACATGCCCTGCCAATGCTCGTAAGCCAGGCTGTTAACGGAGTCTGATCCCTGAGCCATGATCCAAGGGTTAGTGCAACGGACTGGGAGAGATAATCAGGCACAGAGGTTGCTGGGCTCTGTTTCTGACTGCAACTCATCCTAGTTACACAGTCACCTGTCTCTCTAGCCTCAGTGTCCCCGTCTGGAAAATGGGATAGCTTTATCCACCTACCTAGAGCAGAAGCACTACTGGCTACGACCTCAGCCTTACTTCTGGGAGTCATTAAATACAAAATAACAACAACAACACCTACAGCCATGGTAAGAACCATTCATAGAGCAGATGGAAAGCTTTGGATAGAAGGTGTCACAGAATTGGGAAGTGTTACTAAAACAGTATGTGGATGCAGTAAACTGAAACCCTCCCCACCCTCACAGTGTGCTCCTTGGGACCCAACTTAAGGAAGCTAAGGCTTTAGAGCCATACTGCAGAGGTTACTGGTGTCTGGGCAGGGAGAAGGGAAGCACAAGACAGCGAGAGTGCCTCCTGTAGCTTTTTGTCATTACAATCTCCTCAGCACTGCCCCCCCCCAGCAGTAAAGTTCCCTGTTCAAGCTAATTAGGGGAATCCTCATTACAGAGTCCTCTAGAGTCTGACAGCAGGCCAAATGTCCAAGTGGCACTTCAGCTCAGTGTATTTTTGGCCACTGGAGCCCATGGGCCAGAAATGGATGATTTCATTCCATTGCTTTGAGCTGAAACTAAAAAAGTTGTCTTTTACTGTCCTATATCAAACGGCAAGAAGAAAAGGACATCACCAGCCCCACAGGCTACTTTGTTCATTTTTCCAGAAATTTGTCTGGAAAAGAGATTCAACTCGAAGCATGTGGAAGAGAGCTCTGGACACCGTGTCCCATGGATCACAAGGCATTTAGCTGACATGTTGCTCCAGGGAGAACGAACTAGGTAGTTAGCCTGGAAGAAGACTAATGCCTGGTTTATGGAGCCCTGGGGTGGCTTCATAGCATTCAGAGCTCCAGCAATGCTGATCAGCTTTGGGTCCCCAAACCCAGGCAATGCCACACTAGTTCAGAATGGATGGCACGGTGCCTCTTCTTTCGGGCTGGGGGCATGTGGGGGGGCACTCCTAGGTCTGGCAGAGTCCTCGCTGCTGGAAAAGTCCCTGGCTGTCAGGCTGAAAGCAGCCAGACAGATGTGATGGTGCTCTGGAGAGCCTTGAGGTGTGGGCAGGTGCTAGTTGCCCCAAAACTAGGGGGTTCCCAGTGCTGTGTTGGCAGGGAGCACAGCTGGCCCGGTGCTCGCCAGAGCGGAAGGAACCTCTCGGGCCACAGTAAAATAGCTAATTAAGTAAGAATTCAAGACAAGTCAGAGAAAACCTTTAAGAAAGAAACTCTCAAAATTTCTCTCTGCCTCCTTGGTCTCTCCTGGCTGCAGAATATTAATTACTAAGGGTCTAGCGTGCTTATGGGCAATAGATGCGTGGGAGAAACTGGGTTTTTCTGGATCCTTGGAATTTAAATTTCTCCATAAACATGGAGGTATAAATGCAGAAGCTCATTGGCCCTTGCACTTCAGCAGTCACAAACCTCTACCTATTCCAAGTCTACTGCTCTGCCACCTGAGCCTGTTATGCTTGAAAAGTAGGCAGTTTTGTGCAAGACATGGATGTTGATAAATGTGGGTCACAGAAAAGTCCCCAGTACATATGCAAGCTCAACTCTGTGCATACATTTGTAAATGTAAGCTAGATTGGTGACTATATCTGCATATGTAGATGAAGACAGCTGCTTTTAAGTCTTAGAAACATGTGTATGAGTGCACAAAGGGTGGCTGCTATCTATGGGGTGGGGAGTGCCGGGTTTATGTGACATGCTTTTAAAATAATCTTGGGTTTATCAAGGCGCCTCCATCTTTGTGTGTGTTGCAGCGCAGGAGACAGCATTAAAGCCTGAACAGGTGTTAATCATCATGCACTGTAATAAATTCTAAACATAGGGAAAGGGCTTATTTATAAACGGCTGCTCCTCCCACCCTGCACCCTGTGCTTGAGCCTTGGCGCTGCCTGAGAGGAAGAGGAACACGCGAGGTACCAGAAACCAGTACACAAGCTGGACTTGCCCTGCCAGAGCAGGAGTTAGGGGTAGAAACCCTGACCCTATGACCACCACCCTTGCGCCCGGGTACGCTGGTTCCGCTCCAGCCCCGCACTGTCGCCTGGGGATGGTGTGGCTGAACTGCAGAGAGCAGCAAGAGGAATGGGGGGGACACCAGCCCACTGCCTGAGTGGGGACCTGGGCTGGGGGGAGACCACAGAGGGAAGCCGTGTCACAAGGCACCCAAAGAAGATTTTTTTTTTTTTTAAAGCTTAGCCCCCCTGATTGGAGCCAAGCCAGCTGATACAGATGGGGTGTTACAAAACAGAGCCAAAAGGCAAGAGCGCAAAGAACAGAGCTATCTATAACCCTGACAAAGTTAGATGGAGTGAAGGTGGGGAAGAGGGGAAGACAGAGCACGGCAGGCAGCCCCTGATGCTGAGAGCAAGGACGCGATCATTCGGCAACGGGATTTGGAGCTGATCAACTCCCGCTATCCAGCAGGCAGATAAGGCTCTGTGGCTGTCAGCTTAACTCTGCCGTTTATTCCTGTGCTGTAGGCAGTTAAATAGAGCACACGGAAAGCCTGCTGCCGGGGAGTGAAAGTCAAGGAGGGAGAGGGAAGGAAGAGGCTGTAATTGGGCAGTGGCCGGGGAATCGGGTGGAAGTGGCTGTGGGCAGAGCCCCTCCAGGTAAGTGCTTGTGGCTTTTCATCCTCCTTCTCGATACAGACAGCCGGGGACAGGAGACTTCAGGGGTGGCATCTAGGACAGAGACACTGATATGGGGGAGGCTGAAAGTCTCCTTCCGAGCCAGGGTGAGTGCAAGCACTGAATGAGGACAGCTATTTGTTGCAGCTTCTCCTTCAGCAGGGACTGCAGGGCAAGGGCTCCAGCTTGGTTTGGGGAGTGGGGGGCTGCAGCGGGTGGAGGGTGGATTGATTTTGGTGACATAAGAGGTATTCATCTATTTGATGCATTAGCATTTGGGTAAATGATCTAAATAGCCTTGCAAAACGTACTAGTCCAGGCACTGAACCTGCTCATCTTTTTCATCAAGATGCTAATTTAAATATTTCCTGGTGGTTTACATTCCTATATAAAATAAATCAGTCCTGGGAGCCTGGGGGATGGGGAGCAGCTGGCACGTGTGTGGGGAGAGTGTCCCAGTGGGAGCGCAGCGCCCAGCTAAAATAACGTCTGTGGATGTTGTCAGAGCCCCTCAGAGGGGATGGAGGAGGGTTTATTTCTGTACCCTGGTTGAAATGTGTCCATCTAACTGCTGCTGTGACTGTGGGTGGCACATCAGAGAGCAAGCAGGGGGACAGGAGGGTGCATGGTGTTTCCCCTTTTCCTGCTTGCCTGTATCCAAAAGGGAAGCGGGAGGGAAGGAGGAACCTGTTGTCAGTCACTTATTGTCAGGGGAGAGTTTATGGTCTTTGGGTTTCTAATTAGACTGAGCATTTTTCCTTCTTCTAATTAAGATGTAATTCCTCTCTTTTCAACACTCCCACTCAGTCTCCCCCGCCCCAGGTCCTCCCTTCTCCTCCAAGGCTCGCTCGCTCTTCAGATCCTGCAGTTGCTGCAGTGTGAAATCCCCAAGCTGGAGCTGTGCTCTGCTCAGCCCTGCTCTAGCCACCACATCCATTTTACCTTGCAACAGAAAGGAAGCACTGGTGGGAAATACGGGGAGCGGGGCGAGAAGCGGCTTGGCAGCCGCTGGTGCCCAGACCTCCGTGATCCTGAGCCACACGTCAGGGAGAGGATGCACAGGTGGTAGGAGCCTGCGTGGCGGCGAGAGGGAATGAGCTGGAGTCTGCTGCCCTGGCAGGGTCACCTCAGCAATTCATCAGGTTAACCTTGAGCATGAAGCTAATGTAGCTACTGTAGCAGGCTATTCAAGCACAGCCTTGTTTCTTCGGCACTTAGGTGCATCGGGCCTTATTTCTGCACCGCGAAGTTCAAAGTGAATTAATGTTGCGCTTTTGTCATGCTGCGCCTCCTGAAACATCGTCCCTCTCTCCTCCAAAATGGAGCTGATGTCTCAAAGGCAAAACTCTAGCTGGGGAGGGGAAAGGACAACACTAAGCCCACCCTCGTGTCCTGCGCCCAGGGAACCGAACCCCACCTCCTCTGCTCTGCTCTCCTCCTCCAGGACCTGGCAGGCAGGCTACAAGGTCATTCCTCATCCCTTTGGGGCCGAGTGCCAGGCTGGCTGGTGGATGTGAAGGCACGCTGGAGAAGACAACAATGCTGCCTACAACTGCTGGCCACCGGTGGAGGAGCAGGTTCCTCATGAGGTGGCAAGAGGCTTGTCGTAAGTAATGCCTACTCAGGTACTAAGTACGATGATCCTGTTTGTCAAGGGAGTGGAAAAAAAATAGGTCACATCAGGGTTAAGAACAGGGGAGAGGGACAGCTAAGAATGGAGATGTTTGAACTAAATCCTGATTCCTTTAGAGGCCAGGCTAGCTGGGAGGGAGAGCGAGACTCGAAAGCTGAAGATGGGCTTAAAGTGGGACAGCGAGTGATGATTGCTTCTGAATTCCAGTGGGCCTGGCAGGTGAGAAACAGCGAGACAAATACCACCACACAAAGATCCACCCTGAACATTTCTCAGAGCAGCATCCTGTAAGCTGCAGACTCCTCTCTGTGGTAGGGGTTTATAAGTAGGCTGCTGAGCAAGGCTCCCAGCTCTTCATGGCAGAAGTCATGACAGATTTTAGAAGGGAATGTAGGATGTGAATACAAAATTCTCCTACCGGGCACTGCCACATGCAGTGAAAATCAAGGAGTACATAAAGAAGATCTCTTCTAAATTAAATTGTAAAAGTTCAGCCTGTGCATCTTCCCAGTGGACTAGGGCATTTGCTACAGTAGCCCTGAGTGCAGAGCAGAGACTGCTGGGGCGATGTGGAAGCCCCACATCGGGGAATGTACATGCACTTCAGAGAAGCATCTAGGGACTGCAGCAGAGGAAAAGGAGCACCTGGAGTGTGTCCACCACTACTGCATGCCCAGGCAGCTGAGCAGGTCTGTGGTTTCCTGCCCTCCTGATCAAATTTGGGTGTACCACTATAAGAAGCTGAGGGAACTGTTTCCTTCTCCAGAAAACAGGCATCTTTGTAATCCATCCTCACAGACTAGACTGCCATATAAATTATTTATACTGAATGCTACTGAGTCTTGACTTAATCTGATATTCCTGGATCAGCTTTCTGCCATCTACTAGAGTCACCAAACACCCCACAAAGTAACTTCATCCTCCCCTAACACAAAAACACATATTACTCATCCTTCTGTAGGGCTGGAAGACAGCTTCAAGTTCTGTCCATTGCTTCCCTGCCTCTCTTTCCTGTAAAGCTGCATCCTAACCAGTGCGATGAATTCGTTGGTCTCAGCTCACATCCTGGTGGCTGTATCTCTTGCAGGGACTGACAATGAAATCAGACCACCTCCTCTCTGTGATTTTTAGTAAAATATTTCCAAGAGCACAAAGCAATATATGAGTAACAAAAAGACATTTTTGGCACATCTTACATGGCTGCAGAAACTTGGCATCAATCCAGTTCCTGAACATAACCACAGCCAACTGCCTGAGACTTTGTTCCTACTAGCCACTGTCAGCATACACACTGGTGGAACCCCACAGCCACCCAGTCGGGGTCAGTGGTGGGTAGGTATTTTGAGAGATAAGCCCTGAACAGAATGCCACCTGTATAGCATTACACACGGTCTGCTCTTGCCTTTCTCAGTGTACAAAGAAGCTAAGTGTTATCTCATCATCACAGCTGTCAATCTATTATTAATACTGTACTTTTGTTAAGCATCCAGGAAAAGACGGGGTCACTTGAGTGACTCATGGCTCTCTCCCTTCTCCACTCCAGCTCCCATTCTTTTAATTCTCTCCCTACAACAAGAGCGCGATGTATTCTGAAGGGAATTCAATATCAGACAGTGCCTGCACTGTGCCAGTCCAGAGGCTATGATCTGCTTTCATGGCAATCTTTGCTGTTGATCCCAACCTTTGCATGACAAGAATGCACAGAGGTGCTCAGAATAAAGATCTCTCTTGTATTTCACCATAAGGATCCATAATTATCATTAAAAGAGCACACAGATTGTCATGGCCTCAGCTGATGTTCACCTGAGATCTCAACTGTAGGACAGAAAAAAAATCTTGAAGGACTTGTGAAAGACAGACGAAATAAAAAAGAGCTAAGACACTCTCTCTGAACACTTAGCCCTTGGTCCTTAACAAAGTCATATAGCTTAGGATTCAAACTGTGTAGTTCTCCTTAGGCTACCAGTCCACAAATCTGCCAATTCTCACAAGGATTGCCGGGAAGACAAAAAGGCCCTATGCAGGATGACGGGGTTTGAGTAGGAAGGCAGCATCACTGCCAGAAACCAAGTCGATATAAAAGAAATGGGCTATGGGTGAGACTAAACTCTAGGGAGAGTGGCACGAGGGAAGAGAGGAAACACGTGGCTGACTGCAGAGCTGCTCCAGGCAGAGCTTCTCCAGGGCATGGGTCTCCACTGGCTCCCTGTCCTGTGGCAGTCCTTTCACAATTCCCTTGGGGTTAAGAAACAAAACACCTGCTTGTTGGTTCTTTGGAAAAAAGCAGGACAGAAGAATCTGGTTTCCAGTCCAGGAAAGAGT